AAAAATGTTCTAGGGTGAGGATTTAAAAAATATAAAAATAAAAATAAAATATGGAAAGCCTGTACTTGAAAATTAACATTAAATAGTTTATATCACAGAAAAATGTTATACAATACCACAGATAATGTAAACATTATTAGAAGACTTGTTATCCTTATAAAGAGATTATATTGCAAAAAAATGAGAGTAATTTTTCATTTTTTAAAAAAGCCTATCAGCAGTATCTTCCAGAGCTACTAAATATTCTTATACCAATGAGGTATTTATTTTTTCATCATGAATACATATCACCACTCTCTTACCTTAACAAACAGCTAATGTTGAACTATATAAAATGTCAGCCATCTGGGCATATACTATTTTGCTAGTAAATAAGAAAATCCTTTTAATCACTTTTAGTACCTAGTAAAGTTTAAGTAAGATTATAAAGCAATCTAGCATAAGGACTATTATCATACTATTAATCATCTTTTAGTCTCATTAAGTCAAATATATTCAAAATTAACTATTTCTAAATTTTCTCTTTTTCAGAGGACAAAGAAATTATTTATGAATCATTAAGTCATTATTTTCCTTTTATTTAGTTAATTCTCACCATATTAAACACACAAGAATCATGGGTCTAATCACAACTTCTGGCTTGTGTTTCAGAACAAAAATTCTTGTTGGAACAAGAATTAACTGAACTTTAAAAATAATGTTGCCTGGAGTAAGCACCGCTAACCTTATCCAGTCTTCTCCTTCCTCTATTTTTAAGACAAGATTCTCTATAGCCAAAATCATTTTTCATAAGTATTTTTATATCCTTTTGAAGGTAGAGATGACAATGGAAGGAAATCGAAGCTGTTGTGGCTGTAGGGCCGATATGATAACTAACATGTAGAGGCCAAGGATTACTATAGGGAAGGACTATTCAGATCCTTTATTTGCCTCTATACTCTGACCATAACTGGCACCTTAAAACAAAGACAGCTCTCTTGTAAATGTGAAGTGACTGAGCAGTCATGGCTCTTAAGTATAAACTGACATATATTACAACCTTAATATGTATTACACATTCTGATTAGGACCAATAGCTGATTTTTATCATTTACTAAGGGCATTCTCCCTAGAAAAAACTTATTATCTAAATCAATCTTGTTAGTTTCATTAAAAATTGGTTACGGGGGCCCAGCGAGCATGGCTCAGTGGTTGAGCAGCGACCCATGAACCAGGAGATCATAGTTCAATTCCTGGTGAGGGCACATGCCTGGGTTTTAGGCTCGATCCCCAGTAGGGGGATGTGCAGGAGGCGGCCCCATCAATGACTCTCATCATTGATGTTTCTATCTCTCCTTTCCTCTCTCTGAAATCAATAAAAACATATAAAAAAAATTTTTTTTAATTGGTTAAGGGCGATAAATATTAAAAGTTTACTGGGAATAAAATAAAGGCCGCTAGATGAAAGGCTGAAAATATAAAATTTGGGGATTTCTAATTTTTTTCTATTGGCACTGATCTAGTTTTTAATAAATAATCAAAAGTGGCTACAAAAATGATAAAAGTTTTCATTAATTTTCTGTCTCATTTAAAAGAAGTAAATACCAGGTAGCTGGCATCCAGATGTAGTCTCCCAAAAGGAAACCAGTATACAAAGACAACCACCAGACTGAGATTTTCATCTCAAAAATCTCTTCATGGGATGTAATTTATTTTTTTACCTACTCCAATTCTAAAAGTATCTTTAAAAGATTTTTCAAAACAAGTTAACATGATTTATAACTCAATATGGACTTCTATATATGACTAGCAGCTTTAGTTTGGAGAACATGATCATATTTTTGGATCATAATTTTAGTATCTGTGCATTCTTCTCTATTTTAGTATACTGTCTCTGCTATGCTGAAATAGCAAGACATGTATATAATATCTGTTTCAGTTTGAATATACTGAAGACAACATAATTTCGTATCTATTACTTTTAATGCAATGAATGAAGATTTTATTTTCAAATATACATTTGAATTGTTAAATTCAAAATAAAAGAAACATTCATGGGTGTTTTTCAAAACCAAATGTCTTATGTACTATTTACCTGGTGGTGGAATCAGAGGTGGAGCAGTGCTGACAGTTGGAGGTGGTGGAAGAAATGGAGGAGGTGGAAGGTGGGTAGGAGGAGCTCCCGGAGGGAAAAATGGAGGTGGTTTGCTAAAATTGTTGTCTACTTCAGTAGCCGATCTTTCAGAAAGGACCTAAAATTAGAGCATAGTTTATTTTAAAAAATGAATAAATGTTCTAATCTGTGATTAAACTCAGTAGTTTCATTTAATCTAAGAATCAAAGTAAAAAGTTTTATTCACATACACATATTTCAAGGCAGCGAGACTAATTTTCTGTGTGTGATATGTGTACATATACTCAGATGTAAGTATACACTCACACACATATTTAAAGCCTTGGAAAAAGTGAATCATTACAAAAATATTCTTAATACAAAATAATAAAAACATTCTAAACAAGAGACAACTAAGTACTTTATAAATATAATGTAATAAGTATTATCTTTGTTACCCAACCAAAGTTAAAGTAGTCAAATTAAGGCAATGCAATCATTAGTCCAAGATACTAGCATTAAGAAAATAACATGGCATGATGAATCTCAGAAGAAAAGGGGGTAGGGCTGGGGG